GCTGACGCTGTGAGGGATACATAAATCTCTGAAGAATGATAAATCTATTCTATTTAATAACAATTACATTTTTTATTTGTTGATTGAATGAAAAATCTGGAATTTTTCCCATTATCATATTTATAGCACTCGCCTATTTATTGTTGTTACAGAATTAATCCGGATTATGAGATAACGCAAGATATAAAAATAATCATTAATAATTCTTGCTAGGCTGGTTATTCCTAGAGAAAACTCCTCAATGGTACTCGAAAGTCATATCAATTGCACTTACCTTGGAATTAAAATACCCTCATCCCCTCATCCCACGTTATCCGTCACAATTCAACAGCAATATCTCGATTGGGAGTCGATAAAATCGAATCTATGGGAAATATCGAAATTTCCATAAATACCAATTTTGTAGATGTCATTCTGTTCTACAAAAAATGTTGAGAAAAAAATGTCGCTATCTCCCGTGCGTCTGGAGATATTTTCATTTTCAAAAAATTGAGGAATTCATAAATTCTGGAATTGAGGAAAATAATTGCAAATAAGTGGAATATTTTTATTTTTTCTCGTGGAAAAATCGCGTGGGTACTCTCTGCACTTTGGAGAGAACAGAAAATCCATTCACACCCGTCACTTGCAGTACAAATAGTCATACAGAATGACAAGTCCGCGCCACTTATCGAGGCGCCATTCTAACCCGTCTATTACCTGTTTGCAAATATTGCCACGAGGTGTTAGTACGTTTTACGGTGGTACGTGGAACTCTGTACACATTATATTAAATAGCACGGTCAATTATATATTTTCAATTAGTACCAAGAAATAGGAAATAACGTGAAAATTTTGAGAGAGAAAAAAAATCTATAATCCCTGTACGACGAGGAGGTGAGAGGCCACATATAGGATTGGGAAATTTCTCAAACTGAGATTTAGTCGGTGAGATACTGGTCCTGGTCCTCACCTATCGAATATCTCGAGGGAACGGGCGCCATGAATTTGGGTCGAATCTAATTGGCGTACCGATTACTGAGAAACGATTACGACTCTTCTCTCTTTTATTGTTATTATGATACTCATGATTTTTGGTCAGGCATTATATCACGGAGTGACGCGTCTGTCCCACAACAAGCAGATGTGTAAAATTCTTCAGTTAAATTCCCATGTATAAATCCAATCAGAGGTGACAGCTAAATTGGCAACTATTGGATTTCATTTCTCATGAATGTTCCAGCCAATTTGACTGTGGGGTGTAAAAAAGGAATATATTTTTTGTCCTCTGATAAAAATCAGCAACCCAGACCGGAGGGTCTCAACAAAGTGTCCACACGCTGACACCGGTTCGCACTTTTTATTGGCATATTTTTTTTATATATATTCCCTTTTTTCTCTTCCTTGGGCCATTCTTCTTGGGGATTTTGAGATCTCTTAATAGCTCCGGGATTTATTGTATTGGTATGATACTCCCGGGAGACCCACCACAGCTTTGCGACACCGGTGCTTCGAGCTAAAATAACAGTAGTCCCTTTTTTCAACAACACCACAAGCACCAGAGAAGACTTCTCCACTCTGCAACAATAACAGAACGCGTGTGGTCGAGCTGGACGTTTTTTTTTTTTTTTTATAAGTGTGACATGATCCAACCACTTGCTAATTCCCTGAATTATTCACCCGCACTTTCCAAAATTATGATCCATCCGCACGATTACCCAATTTATAATAAGTCATAATTGATATCTCATCCAGAGCTTTTTATGGTCTACTCTATTCTGGAAAAATCAAGAAGAATTTTTGAAAAAAAAAAAAAACCGCCGCCTGGCGGCCCTGCTGATTACCCAATTGACAACCCAAAGTGACTTTTTTCCTCCAGCATGAAGATGCTGTCAAAATGTTGTTCAATAAATCAATTGACTCCGACGGCATACGTAAATTGTCGATTTAACTGGCGATACGATGGCGCGATATACGGAAGAATTACCTGTACCAGAGCCTCGGGCAATTTGGCCCTTTTTTTTTCAACCTTAAAGAGAAGGTCTACCCGCATGTTCGGCCTTCCGACCTTCTGGCCCCGACCTCCGCGTCGCGACTCGCGGCTAAATCCCGGAGGAAGGCGTCGACGGTAAATCCTAGTCGCCTATCCCACGTTCCAGAGCACAAACCATAATTGAAACGTTTCTTCGTCTTTTGCCTTGGAGTTATTGCAGTAAGGGCGGGGTACACTTGTGATTTTTACGTCTCTCTCCATCAGTCATTCGTCGGTTACGTGTGTTTAACGGATTTTGTTTTAACCGAGAGGGAGATAATTATTTGCTATGAGAAACACATAAATGTACGAATAACTGCCTTTACTGTTGTTTATTCACAGTGAAAAAGGTGTATTTAATAACAAAATACATATTCGATATATATTTATTTCATTTTTCGTTGCGTGTGGTTTTGCTTTCAGCGTAGAAACTGAGGAACAGCCTTGACTCATTCTAAATCAATTAAGATTGAATGAATGAGTGATTCGAGACTGTTTTTCATTCTCCGCTGTGGGAATAAAGATTTTTTTCTCTTTTTTTCTTGACATTTTGATGGAAATTGTGAGTTTCAGGATGTTTTTGCGTCTCGATCTGTCGACCTTCGACCCGCTCCCCGATCTGTCCTATTAATCGGTAATCGATCGATGTATCGAATGCATCCGTAACGATATCTCTCGTGATAATGCGATTTACATTTTCCAAACGAATTGTACACGGAATTCGTTGCTGAATTCGATATGTACAACTGGTAAACCGCATTTTAATCAGTTTGCGGTTGCGGGGAAGCTCTTACAGCATGAGTAACTCAACTCCCGCACACGCAATGCCCTCTCAGTGAGTACCTCATGTGTTACATTATGGACTTGTGATATTGCTGGGAGAACTCGAGTCACGATCGAGTTTCCAACTGAGAAGTTTTTTTTTTTATTTCACTGGATCATTGGACGTGATAAATTGGTCGATCGATTCCATCGATCCATCCATCATTAAGACAAATAATGTGGACTATGATTTATTTATTCTGGGGGTTCACGTTCACTCGTATCTAATTATAGAAAAACAAATGTTCAAGTTTGCATTTGGACTGCGTGGGGTATTAATTAAGAATTATTTATTGAATTTGAATGGAAGTGTCGCAATGTGTCATGCGATTACTCATCATTGTTGGATTAATTGTTTGTTTAATTTCACATTTGTCACTTCATTCCGTTACATCCCGAGACGAAATTGTGGATTGATAAAAATTCACCGACAGTTGCTGAACGGAAGAGGAAAAAAATCGAGGTAGTTCCACTGGTCCTAATCACCACTTGATCTGGGAACTTTCTTTGCTGCCGATCCGACAGATAATACCCCAGCTTCCTCACCAGTTCCAGATATACTATCAAGTAGATCGGGTTTACCAGAGTCTATTTGGTATCTATTTATTTTTCACCAACGAGTACTGGGACAGGAGTTGTGTAAAACGGGAAAAGGGACTTTTAGTGCTCCGAGGGGTACGAGTGAACAGGAAAAAAAAAAGAACGATTGGTGAGAACAAAGGGACCGTGGAGTATTGTTCTATGATTTACAGAGGTTTTGGGAGAGGTCACTTTTCCCTCGGTGAAAATCCTGACACGGCCACTTGTCGCCTAGGTAATTAACCATTCACCGACTGCCTGGCACCGATCCACCAAGTCAACGATTCATCCTTAGCTCTTGTACTTGTACAGTCTTAAGATCCAGAACAGTGGCCCAGATTAGACTAGATCCTTGTTTTGCCATGATCAAACGGGCCGATCTATTTTACGACTCCTTCGGCGTTCACTCCGAGCATCTCAATCTATTCGTTAGTTTTATCTTTTTATGGCACCGACTGAACCACGCGTTATCACTTTTCGGTTAGAATACATGAATTTGAATTTTATGGCTCATCCCCAACGAACGGTCAATGGCAATTAAATCCAAGTGGGCGGGTGATTATAGAGCGCCATCTTGCGGTGGCATCCCTGCAACCGAGGTGTCATAGCCTCACTTTAATCCTTTGGCATCAATTGGATATTCAATGAGATTAGCCATCGGAAGGCTCATCGAGGCCCAGATTATCTCCCATCAAATCCGTCAGATCAATTTCAGTTTAATTAATTGTCAAAGTGCATGCTTACCACCACAAGTCACAATATTTTCCCACCGGGAAATCCAGGGGAGCCCGAAGGTCGTACTCATCGGCAACATAATTAGGCAGATTCCAGAAATAATTTAATTGCTCCCAAGGAGCCCTTTTCCATCATAATAAAACGCTGAGATATTTCCAGAACTGACCGGAGATTTTAGCGACAACAGGATTTCTACCAGGAATTCCAGAACTAAGAAAACGAGAAGAGATGGGATACTGAAATAGAAACCCCGTGAAATTGAGCCACTCGAGAGAATTGGTCAGGACCATTATCATTTGTTGGCAGGTTAAGATGCTACGGTTGACGTTGCGGAGGCCGACTAATTAACAAGACCGGACCCTAATAAAAAAAAAGTCTTTTTTTTTCACCAACCATGAAAATTCTGAGGCCATTTCGTCCCCATTGTTTTCAACTTCTTCCGTTTCTTATCTTATCGAAGGATCTCTGACTCCTGTCACCTTTTTCCCATTTTCCCTGGAAAGCGCAAACTCCATTTTTGTCCAACAATTAGATAAATTAAAACGTAAATTCACACAGAGTCACTCGACCGCAATAAAAATTCGTCTCTGTACCGACAGAGACCGTGCGTCACTGAAATAATCACCGGGCGTCGATTGATAATTAATTATCACTCGTGTATTCTCGGTATGGCTTGTATCACATGGAAGACCCGTTGTTTTTCGTCATGCCGAGACCGGCTCTTGCCTGGATTATCACCATCCCCTCTACTTCCTCATTTCTCATTCAATCTGTACCCCTCCTCCCCCTCTATCGCTGAATAATTCCCGCAATAAACACGTATATTGTCACCAGTCCTCCGGTCGCACACGCCCGTGTCTCACATCTCTCGCCTCCCCCAAGCCAATTCTCCACTGACATTGGATTCCCTCTTTCCCACATATTCATCACTCATTGCGCAACAATCGAGACTCAAAACACGAACAATAAACAGCTGATTAATTGACATCGACGCTAAATATTCGAAATATAATAAAAACAAAAGTGATTTCGTTATATCTTATGTCGCATATTGTGATAATGAGTCTTACAATAAATTCTTCGTGTGCTGTGGAGAGCATTGGGAAATATTTCTCTCCGTTTCGAAATCCACAAGAAAGTCAGGAAAAATCGGGGTCTACGTTATTTCCAGCGGATGAGTGCTTCCATTTTGCGTTGAATTAAACTCCGCGTCGCGCGACGTTGCCACAACCTGGGGCAGCGCGTTCCTCCAGTCTAGAGTGTACTCGGCAACCCTGGAGACTAGGTACATCGCGTTCGGGCACACGCGGAGGATTTCATACGTCAATTCGATTGTATCCGTCGGTTTTCATCCGTCTAACGAATTATCCGCGGGGAAATTTGTGTAGAAATTCGAAGGATCCGGTCACACGCTCAAATCAACCGCTCGGCAATCAGAGATTGCAGCCATCAGGGATTGCGCATCGAGAAGCCGAATATCTTGCGGAAAAAAAAAATGAAAGCAGAATTGGATAAAAGTGTTGGCGTGTCATCCATCCCCCCAGTGTCCCCCTCTCGCGCGGGTGAATCATCTTGTCGATGGTAATCCAGTCCGGCACGCGTCTCCCCGATGCCCAGTGTCTCGTAACGGCAGCTCACTTTGCTCTCACCTCTCTCTCTCTCTCTCTCTCTCTTTCTGAGATCCCTCTCTTCATTATTGTATTATCCCTCCATAGCGTGCAGTTGTGTCTCAAGTGATCGTACGGAGAGTTCCTCGGGGCCTATACACACGCCTTTGGCTGCACTTTTGCCTATATATCCCACCTCGTGGAGTAGGGGAAAAAAGGCGATGTGATGTGATGGCGGGTTTGTAGTGGGGGTAAACGACTCGTGCATGATATACCCGGTGGAGGGATGCCGTGTTTGGTGGTAAGGGTGGTGGAGGTGGGGGAAATATTCTCTAGGCGAGAGCCACCAGGCCACTGCCACCAGGTAAGCCGAGTGAGTTAAACACTAGTGGGGCTGACTCGCGCGGTGCGGCTCACAGTTTCGGAGAACATTTCGGACGTGATTCAATTAACGCAAAAAAAAAATATTATTATTATTATAGTGAATTTTGGTTACCATTTTTGCATTGTGAATGTGCGGAGAAAAGAGGAGTGGTGAAGACCCTTGGAGTCCCTGACGAGTTGCGGATCAAAGAGACGGAAAGGCGGAAGGGCGGAAGGTGCTGAGGGTGCGGAGGGGGTGATACGGTGGAAAATACACCGGAAAATTGGAGGGACTTGACGGAGTATTTATCGGTCTCTGGGGGTAATTGTGCCTGGAGGATTTTCCCTTGTTCGATTGGTGTGAAGATGAGACTGGCGGTGTTCCAGATACCGCGGTTGTACCGCACAGGAACCAGGAAGACAATCACGTGTAACGATTGAGGGGAAAATCGGTAGTTCGAGGTCGATAGGAGATCGACCTCGTGTGTTATCGGGTGATAAGCCCCCCGAATGATTTGTAAATCACTATTGGAATATTTTTAGCTGGTTATTGCCGATCGTGACACACGTGTAGGTGGAATGTTTTTTTTTTTCTTCCACTATCTGGTAAATGGGGGGAAAAGTATTGTTGATGAATTGATCAATCATTAAACTCAATGACAACGCGATATGAGGTACTGTCGTGCGGTATTATTTACACGAGTTTGAGAATAAGTAATCACGAGTGATAGAACAGATGTTATTGACGTGAAGATACATGTTGAGTGGTCTTTTTTTTTATCTTGTGGTGATTTGAGGTATTGGAGTGAACAGTGGAAGCGGCGGCGATTACTCCATTCCAGTGGATTGCTCTTGTTTTTTTTTTTTCCAATTTATTTTAATCGTTAGGTGAGGTGCAAGGAGCATTATTGTTGCCAAAGACGAGTTGTCTAGGTGGCTGTGAGGTTTTTTCGTAAGCAGACACGAAGGCCAGCCCGACGCAATGCGTCGACGCTGCTGACGCAACGCGCCTGGATGCGTCTCACTCTAAGCACGTGAGTGTAACATGATTATTTTCCAACAAATGTGTTTTGTCTACCGCCAATATATTCCACATTTTCCCTCTTTAGGGAATAGAGATTATACCGTCATGCGTCTGTAATTCAGCGGAAGATTTTTAAAAACGAGAATCGATGGCGTGCATTGTTCAACCCCTCAGAATACCAACCCCCGTCCTCGTTCGATACCACATTATATTCTCCTCGTATTACACCCCTTTGCCACCCTGTCACTTGAGTCTCCCAGAAACGGAAAAAGAAGAAAAAAGAAGGAAAAAATATTGCAGTCCAGGGCGTTGGGTAAAAATACACCGTACGGCGCAGTATAAGTGCGACTTGTTCCCTAAAAACGCACAAAGTGTCCTTTTTCTCACCTCCCCAACGGCATCCAGAGGTTCTCAAATCCCAATCAACCCCCCTCTCACCCTTGTTATGACTCACGTAACGACTTTTCGAGTGCGAGAGAGCGAACAACCCCGTCTTGCCTAATCCAACGGCTGCAAGATGGGAAAAAAAAAACGTCTATACGATTTCACGCTCTCCCTGGGTGCGTTTAGTTTTTTCAACTCCTTTTGAAAAAGTCTTTTTTTCCATTCTCATTGCCGCGGACCCCATTTTTCGGGGCCCCTGTCTGCAATACATCAAGATTTTTTAACCCCATTTTTTGGCCTAGTGAAGGGCCCGGAGTTATTATACCTGCACTATGTTTTTTTTTTACGGGGTACGGGGAACACTGGAATATTCAGAGCAAATACTCTCGACCTGGCACAAAGACCTGTGAAATTTATTCGTTATAAAAATTCATTCAATTTGTCAACGCGAAATTTTGGTGGAATATATCGGTAATCGGGTCAGCAATATTTCATTTAAATCTATCGATTTATTATTCACCTGGATTCATTGATAGACATTCCACTCGAGATAGGAAGAAACCCCAATATCAATTAGGTGAGTGTGATTGAATTAATCTCCCCTGGTGATCTAATCACAAATTCCTCGATTATTTTTCCCCACCCTATTTTTCACGTTATTTTTCAACTTCAATTGATGTACTTTAATCGTGCGAATTTAGAGCGTCAGCTGTGACGAGAGATTTCGGTTATTCATTGTCACTCAGTGGCACGTGGACAAATTTGTCAATTAACCGTGAATTTGAGATAAGAGAGGGTAAACAAGAGACTAATTCAGTCCAACTCTTCCCTGATTATCAAGTTAAACACTAATTATTCTATTTAATTCACTACTAGATTTCAAATTTTCCACTGAAATTTCCGATAGCGCTGATAAATTTAGCACGTGAAATATTCCACCGCGGAATTTCGCGAGTAAATTTTTTGAGATAATTCTAACACACCTATTTGTCTTTTTTTTTTCTCTCGGGGATAATGTCCAAGTCTCGTCGCATATTGCTTCTTCCCAGGAAACTCAAACTACTACAATGGTCTCCCAATGGTCTCTGCGTACATGTTGCAACGTAAACTTCTTTGAGAAAACGCTAAAATCCTTCCTGTGTTCGCTTGTTATTCATATTAGCACATGCCACGACGAGATCTACAATATTTGTCCTGACCGAACGCCCGGATGGGTCTCACCGAGAGAATTATTCAGTTAAAATTACGGAACCAATCATGTAATCCGGAGAATTGTTTTCCGGCAATTTTTTTTGACGATCGCAACTGAATAAATCGCATTCACTCAATTTTCGTCATCGGGTAATTAATCACGGGTGACGGGATAATCCCGGTGGACCGCGGAAAAAATCCCCTTTGGTAAATCAATAACTGAGTAATCGATCGTTTACGAATCGCCACTGGCTCATCCGCGCGGCATTTTAATTACACCATTGAATTTATCTTGAATTGGTCGTTATCATCGGTAATCGTATCGACTGATTTTCGAGTTCACCGATTATTCATACACGCGATGTTAAATAAATAAATAATTGAAATTTCCAATTTTTGTGTACGCCCCATAATTAATGGGTACTTATAAAAATTTACGAGCACCGATTCGTCAACCCCGGAAAATACACAAGTGCTTTTAAAACGATCAATTGTGCATCCAATTCTCAACTCCTTTATTCCCCCTAAATTCTCCTTTAAAAAGAAAGAGCTCTCCTCTTCCTGGACTTCCATATGCCATTGAATTCTTGGATTAACCCCAAAAAATGTAGTATTAAGAGTGCAATAGCCCGATTCAACTCCTCGGACTGTTGTCCGAGTGCTCGAAAAGCTCCAACAACTCGTACCAATAAAAATCCAAATCGACTCGACCGGAACTCAATGCGACTGTCGACCCCGATTATTTTCACTGAAAATCCACCAAGTGTACTCTTATCACTTAATCCGAGGATTACCCCACGTTATTCAATACCTCGTACCTCTGAACACCGGATGCCCCGCGAATGCTGAGCCAGTGACAATCCTGGAAGACATCCTAGAGAATTCCATACACCTGTTTGGGATCCAATGTCCAATGTCCCAGGGACTTCCTCTCATTCCCACGAATGAAATTTCACGGTATTAACGCCAATTGCTTTATCGCACTGCGCACACACTCCGCACATTCAATTCCATTGTGCGAGAATAATGAGAATATTTTTACCAATACAAAAATATGTCCGTTAAATTAATTTTTCATTTCTATCAGTGTGCGGTTGAGCCCTTCAGGGTAATAACCCTTTTCTCAGAGCCGACTGGTGACGTAAGACCCATTGTCCCTAAATTCAATGCTAACCAATACTCGTAAAAAATATTGCACGGAATATATTGACTCGGGGTATTGCCTCCTTTGATTCATTAATTACCAGTGCTGCATTCTCGGAATATTAGGATTTATCTCATTGTCGCAGTGACTCCTTGATGATGAATAAATCACGGAAACCGTCACCAAAATATTATTGTTGACAAAAAAACATGAAAGAATAAAACAGTGACTTTTGGTCAAGATCGGAGAGCGAAAAGCTGAAGGGATTTGAAGGAATAAGTGATCGGGAATTGAATAACATTGGTGGGACGCGAAAGCGGAGGCACCCGGTCGTTAATCGAAAACCCATTACCACTATCTTCGATGGTATTGGACTTCTCGAGGATTCAGTTCCCGTCTAATGCGCATGGAGGCGAACTCAAAAAGCCAAGAATTATAAAGTTAAATAAATTTAACCGAGCAATCAATCGTCGTATCAATGCTCACTAATTACAGTTAAGTGATCATACGTAAGACACTAATTTTCCAATGCAATTGAGAAATTGAAATGATATTTCAAATGGACCACCCAAAATCGGCGAAGCATGCAGCATTATTTATTCAATTCAATATAAATACGTTATAGATTTAAAAAAATGATTGATCAGCACTGGAATATTTGGAATTTGACTGACATCGTTCATGATTGGACTCTGGTTTTACCCATTTGATAGGTATACTTGGTGGAGTGTGTGGAGTTCCCTGGAGAAGTGGTGGATGAGATGAGAGGGCGAGGCACACTGGACACCGGTGGATAATTGCTGGCCGCACACCACTGGTTCAATTAAAAAGTCAATCAGCTGCCTCCTTGTGGCCCTCTCAGTCGCTCATGACGCTCGATTGGGAGCTCCAGTGACGTGAAACACCTATCGTCCAACGCTTCGACGTGTTATCCCCACATCCCATATATAATTCCTCCTTCAAAAATATCGAACCGTCTCGCGTGGGAAATTTTTGCATCGATCGATCAATCCGGGATAAGTATCGACCACATGTCGGTGAGGTATTTCGCAGCTTCCACTGCATTCCGCACTCCATATCTCACTTTTTTTTTTTCATTTTTCATTATCACTTTTTGGCAATTGTGAGAATTCACGCTAGTCGCATTACTCGCGCTAATTGCGCTAGTCGCGCTAATAGACAGTATTATATTTAAAAAATTCAATTTTATAAATACCATCATAAAATACACCTCGACCTGTGCAATTTTCCTGCCAATCGTTTCGCACTGTGATTTAACCTGATGTATCGACTCAGTTTGAATTTGGAGTTATTATTCTCCGATTGAATGTGTAATTGCAATGATTCACCGTGAAATAACAGACTATTAGGGAAGGCTGCGGGTCGTACGCACCGGCTACTTCATTCGACTAATCGATCGGCAATCATGTGCCATTAGCTGGCTATTCGATGCTGAAAGGGTCCAATTAAAACTCCGGTCGTCCGTAATAACCGGGTGAAAGCGAGAATTATGAAATTTCCCGGTAAATTTTCATTTTAGAGGTGCTAGAGGTTGTTTATTTTTTTATCTATTAATTGAAAAATTGAAATTTCGAATTATCGTCGATTTTTTTTTTGCCCGCGTTTGTCGGGCTTTCATCGGTATATGAAGTTGAAAAAAAATTGTTACGTTGTTGATGATGAGTCCAGGAGATTGACGATGCATGTCCACCGGGTGAGGGCTGCGCTGGCCTCGAGATGTTTGTTTGGTTTTCCCACGAATGAATACCGTTGAAGCACTACTCAACGAAAAAAAAAAAGGTACCTACAATCGCGCGCATGTCAAGTGCCCAACATTTCCAGTGGTTCGTTTTGAGTTGTCCTTCTCAAGACACTTGGGGAAAATATAAGATACCCAGCTGTCTCGTTCAATCTGACATTTCAGGTACATTAGAATTAAATTCAACATCTGCTCAAATTCCAAATAAAATCATTCCTCCAGTTCTTATATTTTTACTTCACTTCTATAACATCAGAGCCATCTTTTTTTAAACTAGTTATCAGGTATTTATCAGTGCGATTGAATGACGGGCCGAGGTCATTAGCATTTCGCAAAATTAGTCCGGGTACTCGCGGAAAAAAATTCATCAATAATCTGATACATTCCGCAGATAACACTGAGTACCGTGCAGTCTGCCAGAGTGGAGCATCAGGTTTTATCTGTCACGCGTCTGATATTATTTTTCGTTTACGCTATCGGGTAATCGTTATAACGCAAAAACTGAAAAGAAAAAGGAAAAATCCTCCCACTG